CATAATTGGGAATCTCTAGCATCTGGTTTTTACATGCACACAAATTTCTTTTTCTATTCATAGGCTAGGTTAACATGTGCATGATTTATATATGACTCCGAAAATTAAAAGAAATAAATAATAACTTAAATGTAGAAGTGAAATGATTAATTAAAGTTTATATTACTTACACAACGACTTAAAGTACTAAATAATGATACCTGTTTGAAGAAAATACAAAAAAATTAAGGAAGTAAACAAAAAATAAAATAAAATTGACATCCTACTCGCAGCCCTCTTGCAGATCGGACTTTGGATCATGTTCTTTTTAATCTGAAATGGTTAAATAAAAAATAAACTATGCTACCCCAATAAAAATATTATGCTACTCACCGACACAGAAATAAAGGTTGGTAGAAAATTAAAATAAATAATAGAGCACTTAGTTAAACAAATACATTTTTTAATAATAAAACAATTTACCGTTCACTTAACGCAGCAAAATTTATAAAAACAACCTATAGAGATAATAACATAACACTTATCATGATTTCATATACCATCGGTAACATGCATACATTAAAAATTCATATTCCATAAATCAAACAACAATTGTCTCTTTTCATTAGCCTGCTGAAATCCATGAGGGTTCATAGGGATGTCCTGCTACATGTGAACCCTTTTCTTTATCATTTTCAATTAACGGGTTGTCCTCATACCTTGTCCAGTATGAGCGTCAAATTCTCAAGTCTCGATATCATGTCCGGTATGAGACAACGTTCACGGTAGAGCTCCCTATTATACCTGGTCCGTCTACCATCTTACAGAATATTTAGTAAAATTGTTGTTTCATCAATTCACTTAATAACACAGTTCTCATTTACTTTTAATCTCTAGTTTTCTAATTTAACCATAATCACATAAACAAACAAATATGCATTAGGGAATGCAATAATATCTCGATTTTTCAATTTAACAGTAGTTACATAAGGCAGCAATACATGCATTCAAAATCATAAAATCGATAAATCAGATATTATTATGCATTCAAACTGTAAAATAATCGATAGAAATTAATAGAGAATAATTTCCAATTCTATCTTCATTAGTAACCCGTAATTAATTATAGATATTTTTTAAATTGTACAAAATACCATATTATTGTAAATTTAACTTCAATTTCATAATAAATAATAAGGTAAGAGATTCTTACTCAATTTGATACCCAAAAGGCTAAACTGTTAACTGTGCTTACTGGCGGTCCTCAGATTTTCTGAATTTTTCTTTGAAAATTAAAACGCACTATAAGTACTTATAAATATCCCAAAAAACCTAAAATCAGTCTCAGAACCCAATTTTGGCCAATTCTGAAATTCTAGCATGGTAGCTCCGCCGTGCTTCGGTGACAGCTCTGCCGCCCACGGCGGTGGTCCACCTCGAACTGGCTATTTTCGACCGAATTCAACTAATTTTGTATCAATCTCTACGAGAAAACACGTTAAGGGGCCTCGATTATCCGAAAAAATACAAAAAACTGAAACTCACTGATGACCGCGCTTTTTGGTGTGACGGCTCCTATGGCTCACGTTGCGGTTAGGCGTTTTGCTTCAGTCAACCTGTGGAGAAGGAAACGGTGATCACAATGGTGGAAACATTACGTAGAATGGGAATCAAAAAAGGTGTCATCGGAGGCGTCTTGTGAAATTCCCTGCGACAGTGTCGCCAGACTTTGTCTGCGGTTTCCGGCCAATCAACCGGTCCTTTTGTTCCGATTTAGCTATAGGGGTATTTAAAATTGAATTTCGAGTAAAATTTTTTTTTTTTACATTTTTTGACGGTCGTAAGTAGCTCCAACGCGGCAGCAGCTCTCCTTCCCGACGGTTGGATCTTCTTTTTCGGCGAGGGTGTCTGGTGGCTAGGTTTAGGGTTTGGTGTGAAAAAAGTTATTTATATCTGTCCCCATCTAGTTTGAATCGTTCATCACATTTGATCTGAACCGTCCGATCGCGATTAGATAGAGAGTGAATCTGGACCGTTCATCGCGATCTAATCTGAACCGTATGATCCCATTTAAATCTGACTATCTGATCGTGTTTGGGGAGGGAACGCATCCAGGTCGTATGTGCGCGCAAGAACGAATGTGAAACATTCGATCGCGAGTACGCAAATCGCCCGCGTGGCCTCCTATGTGGCAAAACTTTAATCGTTAATTGTGTAGATTTTGTACTGAAGATTTGTTGGACGTATAGTACATGCACTCTTGCAGTATTTTGAGAAGCTCGACTCGAGCTTTACGACAACTCTCTTATGGGTTATTGAAGAAACAAAAAAAAAAAAAAAAAACACACACACACACACAAACATGTAGATTTCAAATTGTTTAGCTCTTACCTCTCCGTAGCTACTTTGCTTTCATGTAACCCTATATTTATCTATATGTATTACTCATCATATAACCGAAATATTTCTTTATATTTATGGTGATGATAAATTTTAGTCAACGGTCTACCAATGAATGCTAAATAGCGACAAAATAAGAACATGTATATAATTTTGTGTAATTTTCAATGTACACAATGACTCTAACTAATTGATAGTATTTTACAATTTATATTTGATGTGTACGTTTTGTTCATATATATATATATATGTGTGTGTGTGTGTGTGTGTAAAATATATTTGCGAACATGAAATAATTAGTACCCTTTACATTAAAAAAGCATAATCTGTTCTTGTTCCTGACTAATTTTGATTAAATTATTAAGCTCGACAGTGAGTAATCAATATTAATTAAAAATAATTATTCTTTAAATTTGTCACGTTGAAAATTATGTGAAAAGTTTCCCTTCGTAGATTTTAATATTAGAACAAAAGTAAGAACCAAATTGCATTAGCCTTTAGTATATAAATATTGGGGAATGATTAATTTATATATGTATACATTATATATATATATATATATATATTATATTATGTACATATAGGTTTGATAGCAAAGAGCATCATAATTTTGAAGGAAATGGAGTCTTGATTTTTAAGAAATATATAGCACGGGACCGATTGGCAACAGACAAAATGGTTGGTAGGTGAGTTTTTTAGATGACTCTTGGAAAAAAAGGATATAATGCCTGCCCACTTTACCTACTCAATTCTCAATTACGGGTCGAACTCATAAATATGTTTATCTAAATACATTACATTTTATATCATTTATATATATATATATATATATAAAGTTATAAAATTTGAAATAAAGTTGATAAAATATAAGTGATGTATATTTTAATCATTTAAACTCATTTATTATCTAAATATATTACTTAAAGTTATAATATTAATACGTGAAAGATAATCGATTCAACATTTGCCTTAAACCTCCATCTATATGTAACTTTAACAATATCAATTACCGTTTTATTTGAGTATGCACGCATAAATTTTATAATTACAACTTTTATTTATATTTAAATATATATTAAAAAATAATAAATATGAAAGGTAATATATAATAGCTTAAATAAGTTGTATTTTTTACTTTATTAATTATGAGATCACTTACTTATTCGTTTACCACTATTATTATAGTTCTAATTGACACGTTTCTATTTTTTAAATATTATTTATTAACGAGAGAAGAAAAGTATGCCAGTTGGCAAAAACATTAAGAGAGAATGACACTTCTAATATTTGAATGTCAGAAGACTCTACTTTTAATTCTATTTCAAAATATCTTATTAAGAGTGCAATGTTTTATCTCCTTACGTATGCCGATTAAAATTTTAAAAATAACTATTTCAATTATTTTTTAAATTATCCGAACAAGTTATCGTATTATTGTCTATGAAACAAATCTATTACATTTAAATTCTAAAAGTATTATCTCTACGTAGTTTTTGATCTTTTTCTGACTACTATAATTATTTTTTTTTCTTCACACATAATTTTAATTTATTAAATTTAAAATTAGATCGTAGATTGATAAGATGATTAAAAATATAACATATATACTATATGAGTTAGTATAATAAGCAACGGATAATCATAAGTTGAATCCTAACGGTCACGCTAATACCTCATTTAAGATAGAAATAAGAAATGAGAAGAAACAAATTTCATTCATCACACTAACAAACTCTTATCACTTTTGTTAAACCAAAAATCATATAATTAAATTTTCAACAACCCAAGTTTTCGAAATTAGGCTGCCTCTTTCCAACCAAACCCCAAGACATGGACACTTTTTACTTTTTAGTAAAATTCACCCACCCCCAAAACCCAACATATATAAATGTATAAACCAAGAAAAGAAAAACCAACCCAAAATTAAAATTACCCACGTAATACATAATAATATACTATATATGTAGTATGAATCATGGTAACTTATAATACTAGTAAAGTAACTTATAATGTTTCATCATGGGTCACCATTATGATTTATATCATGCAATCTAATTCTAATTATTATTACTTTTTCTCCAAAAAAAAAAAAAAAAACAAACTTACTTAATTTCTTGGGAAAAAAAATTATATATTATGGTGCATTGCACTATATAATATAGTTTTGATTGCATATAAATCTTTGCTATTAATTATAAAATATATATATATATATAGAGGAAATTGAGATATTTTATTAAAATATAACAAAATGGGTGCTTTGTAGGTGGAGGCTGCCATGACCAACATGCATTCATGTAGTAGAGTAATCAAGTAAGCCGGTGGGGCCCGTCTCACCTACTCACACCCCAACAAACCCCATACGGCTAACGCAGACATTTTTACACTACGATAAGGGTAATGTAAACCCTTCATGCCGAAATAGTCTAATAGACATAGTGGGTGAATATTAAAAAAATGCAACCTCTCCCACCGTAGTGCGAAGGAGTGCTCTCACCACCGAATCCCCACATACCCCAGCCACCAACCATCCACGTGGCTTTTTTTTTTTTTTATATTGTTTTTATTTTTTCCACTCCACGGTAAATAAAATTTACCGTTGCAACTTGCGTCTTATATTTTGCGACGGGGTAATTCTCAGAATTTCCGCCCAACTGATCTTAAGGCGCGTGACAGCACGCCCAAAGTCGGGGCGAGGTGGGAATTATCAAAATGATTGATTCCGTTAACGTTAATTTTAGTAAAACCAAAGAACGGGAGATTTGATAATATTAAAATAGTTTGAGGTGTGTATTAATAAAATTAAAAATAAAAAGTATAATTTGATACAAATAGTAAAGTGCGAGGTTATTTTTTTATATTAATTATTTTTAAAAAAATTATTAATTTAGTTCTTAAATTATAAATTATGTTAAAACTACTATCTAATTTGTTTAATTATAATTTAACTCTTAAAATTATAAGATATAATGAATTATTTAACAAAATAAGATAATATATATAATTAAAAATTTAAATAAGACATAAACCAAATATTAAAATGATCAAATAATAAGAGAGTAGTTATTGAATGAAGTAAAGAGAGAGCATGAACTTTTTTTTTTATTTTTGGATACAAAAAAAAATTAACTAAGAGAGTTAATAAAAACAATCATATATGAATATTATATAGTTTGAGTCAGAAAACACCAATGATATTATTACAAAAAATACTAGGAGCCTATGAAGTAGTTGTAACAAAAATAACTAAAAAAATTTAAACTTATTAAGGGTCTAAATAAATAATTAAGTAATAAGACAGTAGTTATTATGTAGAGTAATAAGAGAGCATGAACTCTCTTTGATTTTGGATTTCACTTCTCCAAACTCTTCATTTTTATCTTAATTTATTATTATTAAATCGATTAGAATATTAGTATGCAAACGGTATCAACTTTCTTATTTTACAATCAAACAACAAATGAGTACCAATAACAATTAAATAAAGAAATAATAAAAATAAAATAAAAGATATTCGTTGATTATAAAACATAAGATATTTAAATTATTTATTATATATTTATTTAATATATTTTTATAAATTAAACATCATGTTATTTTTATTAACTATCTCTACTTAATATTGTCAAATTTTAAATTTTATCTATATATAAATTTAAAAATTAAAAATAACCAAAATTTTTGTATAGTTAATACTATTGAAATATTTAGAGATATTTTTATAAGAAACGTTTTAATTTAATTGATAATGGCGAATCATCACGCGTGAAGGAGCATTTCTCCAATTGGAAATAAGAGCCCCACAAGGATAAAAAACCTTACACTCCTCCCACGCTCCAGGAATGCGCGTAAGAACTTCCCCTCAAAAATTTCACTGAAAATTATACTTGCAATAATAATAATAGTAGTAATAAAGAAAACCCAATATGACGTAAGCTAATAAACATTAAAAAATTCAAGTATGAAATGAAAATGGTTTGAGATCTGCATCTGCTCCCAGCGTCTATAAATAACCCAAAGCCCACTCATCTTCTTCGCTCGTGCCATCTCTTCTTCTCTTATCTGTCCTTCCAACCAGAGTGCGATATAATACCCCTCAAGAACCGCTCTTTGCTTCGCACTCCGTTTCTCTCTCCGAAAGGTATGCTGCCCTTTCGTTTTCTTATGGATGGCTCCAAAACTTTCTTGCCCTCCTCCCCCGCTCTCTCTAAATTCCCAAGTTTTTTTCGCTTCTTTCGTTGTCTTTGAGGTTTTGTCTTTCTTCTATTTTCCTACACGGGTTTTCTTTAAATCGTTTAGATCTTCACTCATTTGGTTCATTTCTTGTTCACTTTTTTTTTTTTTAGTGATTGAGATCTGCTGGTGAGTGGGCATTACCAGAGTCTTTTTGGTTCTGTATTATTGATTTGATATAAGTTTTGTGATTTTTAAACCATTTTCAAGTTACTCTTTTGCCAGATTGATATTTTTCTGGAGCTGCTCTGTTTTCCTGCGGGTCTTTGTTTTTCTGGCTTGGTTAGCTTTCTAAGTTACAGATCGAGTGTGTTGTAGTTTTAGGATTTCTAGATCTGTTATTAAATGGTTGTTGTTTGACCTAGATCTGTTGCTTATAAGTTATCTATTGTCTGTGATTTACTTTAAATGAGAAGCTTGGAGATTGTGTGTCGGGTCTGTTGTACTCCTTGTTTTTCCAGATCTCCTTGCAGGCCTTTTAGATCTGTTGGTTTAATGGAATTGTCGGGTGATGTACATTATTGTGCACTAATTTCAAGATCACAAATGTCAATTTATTATTTACACAGATAACCGGGATACTACTTGTCCCGTACTCTGACCCTTGTTTGAAAGAAAAAAAGTACTGTCTAAGCTATGTTGATTTTTACTTCATATTCATTTAGACCATGTGACCATGTTGCTTCCTTGATTAGTGAGAAAACTACTTGTCCGTAGAGGTCTATGGAACATGACATGCTCTGTGAATCTAATTGTTTCTATCAAGGTGGATCTTCCTTTGTGAAGTTTCCCATTATCTGGGTTAAGTTGTTATATATCATTTTAGGATGATTGGCAAAGTTACAACAGTTCAAGAATATTTCATTGTTTTGTTTGTTTGATTGTTTTTGTTAAAATTTATGCTCTGCTTCAGAACAATGGCATCCCACATTGTTGGATATCCCCGCATGGGCCCCAAGAGAGAGCTCAAGTTCGCTTTGGAGTCATTCTGGGATGGCAAGAGCAGTGCTGAGGATTTGCAGAAGGTGGCTGCTGATCTCAGGTCATCCATCTGGAAGCAGATGTCTGACGCTAGAATCAAGTACATTCCCAGCAACACATTCTCTTACTATGACCAGGTTCTGGACACCACTGCAATGCTCGGTGCTGTTCCACCCAGATATAACTGGAATGGTGGTGAGATCGGATTCGATGTTTACTTCTCCATGGCCAGAGGAAATGCATCTGTACCCGCCATGGAAATGACCAAGTGGTTTGACACCAACTAGTAAGTGATGCCTCCTAGTCCCTTATACGTACCACGATATATAAGTTTTTAATTATGCTAAATGGATTTATGGTCGGATTTGGATGCTTATCCATGTGTAATGTATTGATGCAGCCACTTCATTGTACCTGAATTGGGTCCTGATGTCACCTTCTCTTATGCTTCTCACAAGGCAGTGACTGAGTACAAGGAGGCTAAGGCGGTATGTGCTCATAAACTACTTTGGCTTATGTTGCAATTTTCCTATGCAAGTGCCCTAATAGTAATATGTTCTTTTCCTAAGAGAAGTACGACCGATGAACCATAATAATCCATTGATTTAGGCTAGATAGCTGAATGTTATTGAACAATCAATGGGTAAAGGTTCAACATTTATTTTCAGCTTATTTTGAGTCTGAAATTTACGATAGATCAAACCTTTGTACCTAGTTTGTGATGCCTTGCAGAAGTTGGTAGCCAGTTGTTTTTTATGTTGTATGCGCCCTGGGTTTAGCAGTATATTGACCGGACCCATAACACCTACCATAGGTTTCATTCGTCATATATTTGATAGTTTTTTATCCTCTTTTACTACCAATTGAACTGTCAATTCTCAAGATCCTTTTCTGTTTGTCATGCAGCTTGGCGTAGATACAGTCCCAGTCCTTGTTGGTCCTGTCTCCTATTTGTTGCTCTCTAAACCTGCTAAGGGTGTTGAGAAGACATTCTCTCTTCTCTCCCTCCTCAACAAAATCCTTCCGGTCTACAAGTAGGAGGCTGAACTTTATTTTTTTATCGGTGTTGTTGTTATATACTAAAGGACCTGCTAATGATGAATACCTTTTCAGGGAGGTCATCTCTGAGCTTAAAGCAGCCGGTGCTTCATGGATTCAGTTTGATGAGCCCACACTTGTGTTGGATCTTGATGCTCACAAATTGCAAGCGTTCACTGATGCCTACTCAGAACTAGAATCGACTCTATCTGGTTTGAGTGTTCTCATTGAGACCTACTTTGCTGATGTTCCCGCTGAGGCATACAAGACCCTCACTGGTTTGAAGGGTGTTACTGGTTATGGATTTGATTTGGTTCGTGGAACCAAGACCCTTGATTTGATTAAGGGTGGTTTTCCCAAAGGCAAATACCTCTTTTCTGGAGTTGTTGATGGAAGAAACATTTGGGCCAATGATCTTGCTTCTTCTCTTAGCACCCTTCAGGAGCTTGAGGGCATTGTAGGCAAAGGTATTATTTTTTTTGAATGTATTATCTGGGAATTGGTGATAATTGCTACTTTGTGATATTGGTACGTGGCATTTCTTAATTTAAAATTTCTTTTATTCTGTATTCAGAGAACCTTGTGGTCTCCACCTCCTGCTCTCTTCTCCACACCGCTGTTGACCTAGTTAACGAGACTAAGCTAGACAAGGAAATTAAATCATGGCTTGCATTTGCTGCCCAGAAGGTTGTTGAAGTGAATGCATTGGCCCAGGCTTTGGCTGGTCAGAAGGATGAGGTATTCTTCTCTTCATAAAAGTTACTACAATTTTTTGGAACATGTTACAATCAGAGGTTACTGCGTTTTAGGTAGACAACTAATGGTTAGTTTGCTTTTAGCTAATTGGCTGCTGTATCTTTTTGTTTGAAATTGAAAATTTACCCGGAAAAGTGAAATTGGTCATTCCTACTGGAAATTTTTCTTGTGAAATCTGAGAATTATGCAATTCCAGAACTAACAGTTTGAGCCCCTTTGGGCGCAGCTTAAATAAAATAAACTTCTTTGGCGCTGTTGTGTTTTCTTTTCCGTTCTTCCCAGAAGTTCTCTCTATGTTTTTTCCCCTAAATTTGAGGAATGCCTATTCACTAATGATGTATCTCTATTTCAGGCATTCTTCTCTGCTAATGCTGCTGCTCAGGCTTCGAGGAAGTCCTCCCCAAGAGTGACAAATGAGGCTGTTCAGAAGGCTGTAAGTGCTTTGATCAATTCATCCATTTCTCCACTGCCTTTCAAACTTTGAAATATTATCTTTCAGAGTTCTTTCTATTTTTCCCATTGTTCACCATTCTTGGCTGGTTCAGGCTGCTGCTTTGAAGGGTTCTGACCACCGCCGTGCAACTAATGTTAGTGCCAGACTGGATGCTCAGCAAAAGAAGCTTAACCTTCCAGTCCTCCCAACTACCACCATTGGGTCATTCCCACAAACTCTGGAACTCAGGAGAGTCCGCCGTGAATACAAAGCTAAGAAGTGAGTCTTCCTTTTGAAAACTTTCATTGCTTACTTCTAGTTTCTATAGTATTAATCAATGCCTTTGTCGTACTATTGCTGTCAGGATCTCTGAGGATGATTACGTTAAAGCCATCAAGGCAGAGATCAAGAAGGTCGTTGCTCTCCAAGAAGATCTTGACATTGATGTCCTGGTTCATGGAGAACCTGAGGTGAGATTTCCTCTGCCTATCCGGCCAGGAAGAAGGCAATTCATGCCCTAGGATGTTGTGCATTCAAATTTTCTTGCTTTGGATAATGGATGTATTTTTACTCCATAGAGCAAAGAGAGTGACTTCTGCTAAATGTCTTGTTACAGAGAAACGACATGGTTGAGTACTTTGGGGAGCAGTTGTCAGGTTTTGCCTTCACTGTCAACGGTTGGGTGCAATCATATGGGTCACGGTGTGTGAAGCCACCAATCATCTACGGTGATGTGAGCCGCCCTAACCCAATGACTGTCTTCTGGTCCTCAACCGCTCAGAGCATGACATCCCGCCCAATGAAGGGAATGCTTACCGGCCCTGTCACAATTCTCAATTGGTCCTTTGTCAGAAATGACCAACCCAGGTATATAAAATGAATACTGAGTGAGGAAAAAAGAGAAAATGGAACTCTTTGAACTTCATATAGATAGTTGGAGTTACACATCCTTAACATACTGTATTTGTAAATGCCCAGACATGAAACCTGCTACCAGATTGCTTTGGCCATCAAGGACGAGGTGGAAGATCTTGAGAAGGCAGGCATCAACGTTATTCAAATTGATGAGGCTGCTTTGAGAGAAGGATTGCCTCTTAGGAAGTCAGAGCAAGCTTTCTACTTGGAATGGGCTGTCCACTCCTTCAGAATCACCAACGTCGGTGTCCAGGACACTACCCAGGTTTGTTTATCCTCCCTATTAATTCCCCACAATTTGAGTTGTACTCTACTCTTTTCTGTAACTTGAACTTGTTTTTTGCAATTGTCTCATCTCTCTCAAATCCTAACAGATCCACACTCACATGTGCTACTCCAACTTCAATGATATCATCCACTCAATTATTGATATGGACGCGGATGTGATCACCATTGAGAACTCTCGATCAGATGAGAAGCTCCTTTCTGTCTTCCGCGAGGGAGTGAAGTATGGTGCTGGAATTGGTCCTGGCGTCTATGATATCCACTCTCCTAGAATACCATCTACTGAGGAAATTGCTGACAGGATCAACAAGATGCTTGCGGTGCTTGAGACAAACATCTTGTGGGTTAACCCTGACTGCGGACTCAAGACCCGCAAATACTCTGAAGTGAAGCCGGCCCTTAAAAACATGGTTGCCGCTGCTAAGCTCCTGCGCACAGAGCTTGCCAGTGCCAAGTGAGAGAGAGGTTGGGGCTGCGGAAGCTATTTGGTTGGTTTTTTTAGCGAAGAGGAGAGAAGGGAAAATTTGTCATATTAATTTTTAATAATTGCGGGTTGATGAGGGTAATTGGTTTCCATTTTTAATTTTCTTTTCGATTGTTTTTGTTTTCCTTCTTTTCAAGAATAGTTTGTATTTCTGGGATTATGCCATCTTCAAGGCACTGAGATGGGCATGGAAGTTGTACTTCACTGAATGAAAATGATGCAATATCATACCTGTTTGTGGATTAAAAAGCCTTGCCTCGCTCTCATTCTCTTCCATTATGAAAGACTGAATTCTTAAAAATATCTGAGAGGTTCAAAGCTCTTTATTAATTCGCAGGAAATATTTTTTATTTTTTTTTCAAACAATTTAAATAATATATATTTATAAAAAAAAAAAATGACCACCATATTTTATTATTGTTTATAAATTTTATGTATTTATTTTTAAATTTTCTTATTATGCATTTTAATATGATTAAATATTGGTGATATAATAAATTATTGATATAAATATGTAGTGAGTTGGATAGGTTTGACTACAAGTTTGACCCTTTTCTCAGTTATATATAAAATATTATTTGCTGGCAGGTACCACTCCATTCTCAACAGAAAAAACTAAAGACGAATCATCATGTTCAAATCCAAGCTGCAGGAATTCTGCCAGAAGAGGCGAACAATGAGCTTGCCGGTCTATGAGGTCACCAAGCAAGGTCCGTCTCACGATCTTTGTTTTCAAGCCACCGTCATTATCGACGATATGCAGTTTCATTCTGATAAACCCTGGAAAACCTCCAAGGACGCCCAAAACGATGCTGCGCGCGTTGCTCTCTGTTACCTCTCTACTCCTCCTCCTGGTAATGATCGTTGTGTTTCGGATGGTGGCGATGGCGGTGGAAAGAGAGAGACCGGTACGAATTTTTTTGTTCTCTTCTGTTCTTTCCCTCATTTTTTTTTTCTTTTATGTGGCTGTGTGTAATATCCTGTTTGTTTGCGGATAAAAAAATTTCTCCGGAGATGAAGAAATGAGTGGTTTTCCCGTGTGATTATAATACGCTATACGGCTATATTATACAATTGCCTTTCAAAATGATAGTAAACTATACGAATTACTTCTGGCTTTTCCGATTTAGATTCCTCTCGGTTCAGTGGTGACTAGAATTTGAAGTTTTAAAAAGATTTTTGTTTGGTGGAAATTAAGGGGGAGAAATATATTTCAGAGTTTCAGCTTTCATACAGTATAGTTATTGACTTTTCTTGTGGTTCAAGCTTTGGGTAGGGCCTACATATGCATGCTTACATTGTAGATCTTCTTATATTAATGTTATGCCAGGAGTTTTAATTGGATTAGCTCGTATTAAATATCCTTCTTAAGGCATTTATTGGAGGAGTTTGAGGAGGTTCTGGATTAAGAAATAAATGAAACTTTAGTGTGTTTTGCCATTAAATTTCGAGTTCATGATGATGGAAATTTATCTTAGTTTGTCAAATTAGTTGCAAAGATTTGTTTAGATAGTTTTTATATCTCGGTGTTTTTTCACAGAAGAGAATATCCAGACAATTTAGGTTTGCATTTGTATTTGGTTAATGTCAATGTTCAAACGTGGAAAGATGAGGTAGGCTATGCGAAGCTTCTAGGTTGGATCAATTTATACTAGAGTCAATGAAGGTCTTAATTCCATTTCAAGCGAACGTGTGGTTAATACTTGAATTTTATAATGAACTTTTGCATACTGTGTGAATCAAAATCCATTGATTTCATTAGTTTGAATATCATTGCACTTGAATTTCACACATGATCAAATAATTAATTGGTAAAAGAATGGGAATTGAACTGGACCAAATGGGCTAGGAAGCGCTTAAGTAACTGGCCTGACGGTTGTTTGTGTATTTGAACTTGATTTTGGTTATGACTGGTAGATGGCTTTACAATATCTCACTTATATGGGGTTTTTGCATGTTATGTGTTCAAGTTTTTTGGAAAAAAAATGCTGATATAACCATTAACATTGGTTGCTGTAACTTCTATAGGTTCTTCAGATGTGAGCTTCCAAAGGACTTCTCAACTAGAGACAAAAGAGGCAAATCAAACTCCATTAAGTGTAGCTCCTCCTGTTTTTAAAGATGATAAGATAATCGGAGGTGAGAAATTTTATTGAGTATTCCCAATTTCCATTCCTTTTGTATCGGTAGATGGGAGTTTTGGGTTTGTTTCTCTACTACTAGCCTGCTTTGGTTGTTCTCATACGCACTGAACTCATCATGCATTATTCTGTTGCTATTACCAAGTTTTGAAAATCGCTACTATCATTCAATTGTTATTATTTATTTATTTATTTATTTCTTACACATGACATGTTGTGCTCCCAAACTGATATTGCTAAATGTTGTCTTGATGGCAAACATGATGTCAAAAAATTTGCTTGTTGGTCTTCTCAAAAAAAAAAAAAAAAAAAGAAAGAAATTTGCTTGTGGTATTGATTGAACAGAATGTCAAGGAATTTTTTTTTATAGTCTTGTTTGGTTAATATCACTGTCAAAACATGGCAGGCATAAGATAGGCTTGGTGAAACTTGTAAGTTGGCATAAAAAGGTTCTTATTTTCATTTCAAGCAATAGCATGGTTAACTCTTCTGTATTTGGGTGATATGATATGTGTTGATTTTGTTATTCTGAGTATCATTGGACTTATGTGAGCATCTTTGGGATAATGTTTCTTTTTTGGGATACTTTTGGGCAAAGGCTCATGGGTGGAACACCAAGAGATCAAATTTTGTGCAAGAAAAAAAAGTTTGCTATAAGTTGTGGTTAGGGGTTGACCTTTTACCATTCAATTACTAATTTCATATATATCTAATAATGACTGGTAAAGGAATGGAATTGAATTGGACCAAATGGGCCAGGTAGGAACTACAACATAGTTTATATTTTTAGTTCTTTTTTGAGATAATTTTTTTTTATTTAAATATTGATTTTTGATATAACTGGTGGATGGATTTACAGTTACTTGTATAAGATCTTTGCATGTTTTTTTGTGCTTTTATTTTTGGAACCAGTACTGGACACAGGCTTAAAAAGCATACTGCACATGTAGAAACATTAGCATTGGTTGCTACAACTTTTATAGGTTCTTCTGATGCGAGCTTCACGGGGACATTGAAACCAGAGACGAAAGAGGCAAATCAGACTCCATCAGACGGAGCTCTTCCTTTTCTTGAAGATGATAGCAAATTTGAAGGTTGGAGAGTTGCTTTGAGTGTTCCCAATTTCCATTCCTTTCGTATAATTAGATGGGAGATTTAAGTTTGTTTTCGCTACTTACTAGTCTGCTTTGGTTGTTCTCATGCACACTGTTGGTTTCCTGCATTATTCTGTTGCTATTATCTAGTCTTCAAACTCAGTACTACTAATAATATTATCTATAATTATTATTGTTATTTATATCTTTATACATGATATGTTTCGCTGCAAAGCTGCTGTTGCCAAAAGTTCATGATTGTACTATGATTGTTAACATTGTACTTTTCTAGCTATACCTGAAAATACTGATAATACAAGTTGACTAGTTTTCATATTTGTATTTGAACTTTGATGTTAATAAATGAACCTGAGTCCTAGCCCGATATCTGTAAAATGATGTTGAAGCTGCACTTATAACAACTGGCTTAGAATGATGTGGGGCCATAAGTAACTTATATTATGAATACAACCAAACTCATATTTTACAGTGAATATGATTTTGGGATTTCTTGCCGTATTTCTTCAAATTATTAGAGGTTGTTACCATTTTTGATTATCAGCATCTTCATCCCTTTCAATTCGTTTCCTTTATTATGCATGTTTGATTCTTTAGAGTTTGTTGGACTTCTCAGTAAGGACTGCCAGTCTGCATCATAGCACTGCAAAAGTTGCTAATGTTTCGTATCTTTATCATCATAAGAACTTAAGCCATCTTGGGCTTGCACTTTTATATTAGTTGACCAATCTGAGGTGATTGTGTTGGAGGTTACTGCTTAGCCAGTTTGAAGGACTTCCATTTAGATAGCAATAATTGATATACAATAGATTAATTGGTCATTTAGAACCTGCTTGGTGCCCCATAGGATATGCCTATGCTGATACTAATGGTTGGCTGAGCCCAGTATTCATTTAGGCGACCACCCTTGTCCTTTTCCAAGGCTAAATTGATGGGTAGCAATTTAAAAAACTCTGCCTTCTACCTGCAATAAGTTATTTTAAGCTCTTCAGATTTGACCTCGTGCATTTTGACTAGGTATATAAAGGAAAAAAAAAGACAACCATGTTCATTGCCGGCTTTCATGCTAGTAAGTAGATAAAAAAAGTCCTTGTATATTTTGAGTAAGCAGAGGAGGGGAAAAGAAATAATATTGAGTTTGTCAGAGATTTCTAGCATAATGTACTAGGCATCAATATGCTTATGCATGGAATAATCAATCAACAAGTATCTCAGTCTCAAGATGTTTCATTTATGGTTATTGAATTTTTTACTTGATACTGCTTCTCAGGTTCTTATTTTGCTTTTAGTGACAATATCCTCTGACTTGCAACTTCTAATTTTCTTTTCTGGTACGCAGGAGCAAAACATTTGTATAAAAATCTTCTGCAAAGCTTGGCTCAGAAGAGAAATCTCACTTTGCCTATTTATTTTTGTGAGCGTGTTGGCCTTCTTCATGCCAGTCGCTTCAGATGTAAGGTCAGAATTGGTACACAAACCTTTGAGAGTCAGGAGTTCTTCACCAATACAAAGGAGGCTGAACATGCTGCTGCAAAGGTTGCTCTAATGTCACTGTCACTAGATGGAATTCAGGAGGCATGTCTTCTAATTATATGTGGCTCTAATTTCTGCTCCTTTAATCATATATTCCTGGGAATATCTGATTTTCTTCGTGAGTCTTCTCTTCTTTGGTTGTTTTGTTTGTTTTTCTCTAGGATGGCCCTAGTGTCTACAAGAACCTTTTACAAGAATTCTGTCAGAAGCAGGGTTGTCCTCTACCAGTTTATGCTACAACCAAATCTGGTGAACCTCATGCGCCAATCTTTATTTCAACTGTGGAGGTAAAAGGTACATCTTTCGCTGGAGAGGAATCGAGAACAAAGAAACAGGCAGAGATGAGTGCAGCAAAGGTGGCTTACAGAGCTTTAAGAGAAAGTAAGGATAAATCTCAAGATTAATTTCTGATTAATTTGCTAGAGATTTGACCTTAATTTATTATAACAAGAAAAAGACTTGGAGAATAATTTACTGCAATTACCTATCACTCTTCTTGTGGGGAAAGAAAATTTAAGTTTGCTGCCTTATCTGGAAACTTTTTTGAGGCAACAGCCTTCTATGGATTTTTTTTTTTGAGTACAGCTTTCTATTGAATTAGTAGCACTTAAGGTTGCAACTTCGAAGTATGGGGTTTTATGGAAATTACTATTGCCTCTCTGTTCCTTTAATGGAAATGCTCTTTTAATGAAGGTTTTCTGAAATGAGAGGACAGTAATCATCTTTAGCATGTCTCTGGAATTTTTTGTTGATATCCATTATTTGTTTCGAGATGCAGATACTTCAATTATTTTGTTGTTCATTATGTTAGTAATTTAAGTCTGAGTGTATACAGTCTTTCATTTTGTGAGGTTACCGAAACATTATTTCTGTTATTATTCTTTTCATGTAGACTTTTGACACCTATGCACGATCAAAATAGTCATATTTTTCTTTTGGTGATTGCTTTAGAAGATATTTGATTAGGTTTACTTAGTGGATTTAAAAAAGGGTAAATCTTTTAATTGTTGAAAATAATAATTTGCAAATTAAGAAAACTCTTTCTCTTATAAAGTGTTGAAAATAATAATTTACAAATTAAGAGAACTCTTTGTCTCGCTAAGGAGTTAAAGGTTATAAATATGTATTTTTTGAGTTTTCTTTAATGGTTCATGTATTAGACTTAAATATGTATTTTTTGAGTTTTCTTAGATAGTTAATGTATTAGAATTAAATATATATCTTTTGAGCTTTTCTAAGGGGAATTCATGTCTTAAACTTAATCATGATCATGAATTACACTTAATTATGGTACATGTATTTAGAATTTAAAAAATTATATTGGTGCTTATGTATATTCATGTACTTGAAGATTCTTTACAATAACCACAGATAAAAATTGAGTTTTTCTTTTAGTTTTTTTTTTTTCCTCCAATTTCCAACAAAGTAGTACCTAGAGTTAGGCTATCTCTTAAAATTTTTCCAACAGATTGGTATCAGAGTTTGGTTCCTTGATTACCTAAAAGTTTAGAGAGATGACTGGTAATAATCTATTCTTATTCCAGTTCCTCTCGTCTTACGAAAAAAAAAGAAGAGAAATCACGAGAGTTGGTGTCTTCGCATGAAAGCCATACTTGGCTCACAAGATGCGTGACATATTGTAGATAAAGACTTTACTCCACCCGAAAATGAAGCATCATTGACTCAAAATAATAATGATACTTTGGCAAACAAGCCCTTGCTCTCATCCATGGCCGATGCTACCAACGCAAAGTAAGCTTGGGAGATTTTGAAGAATTCTCTTTAAGTTGTTGACAAGGTGAATAAGGTGCAATTCTGAAATTTATGAGACAAATTTGAAGCTTTGCGAATGAAGGATGTTGAATCTAATTCAGATTTTTTCTCAAGGGTAAAGTCTATAGTGGGAGAAATAAGGAGATATGGTGAGACGATGAAGATGTTCGTGTGGTGTAAAATTTTTTTCGATCTTTGCTATGAAAATTTGATTGTGGTGTGTATCATTGAAAAGTTAAAAAAAACTAGAGATTATGACTTTTGAGCAATTAGAGGAATCATTACAAATTTATTAAGACAAAATAAAGAAAACACATAAAGAGCTTTTAGAGAAAATTATCAAATCAAAGGTGTTTTTGAATGACGGTGGAAGACAAAGTGGATGAGGGAGAGGTAGAGGACGTGACAGTGATCGTGGTCAAGTGCCCAAAGAAATAGCACTCAAGATGATACCAAAAATGAAAACAAAAGGCAACAGTCAAGTAGAGGTCACGGAAGAGGAAGAGGAAGAGGACGAGGCAAGTATAGAAAGTTTAACAAGTCAAATGTTGAATGTTATATGTCACCAAATATGATCATA